TGCCTTCTTACTAAAACTGAATTCTATTTCATTCTACCCTTCAAGCTTTTATGATTAACAAACGCACTTTTTTCAAGCACAGCTGATTAATGCATTTCCCACCTTTTGCACTGGTTAAAGAATCTTTAATACATCTTGTTCCTAAATTTGCAGTTGTGCTGTTTCAAATTTGGGCTCTGAACCCAGGCAGCTTTAGGGAGGATTGTGGTTGTTACGACACTTAACACAGTCCTGCCTGCTCAACGTTCTCATAGGCAGAACTAAGAGAGATTACAGCTGCTGAAGTGAGAACATTAATTACACTGAAAACTAAGCAGCAAAGCCACACCTGCAGCAAGGAAAAATTTAGCTAAATTCCATTCAACAGTATCTGCTCAGCTGTTTCCACCAATCCAGTGACAAAAAAGAACAAGTTCTCCATCCCGGTTGGTGAGCATATAGCTGTGACTGAGCCAGCAGCTTCCCAAGCTGGCACCAGGGAACATTTATAACTATTTTATAACCTTCTTAGGAAAGCCACAATCCCCAGAATTAAAATCCTTTTGTTCCTGAACTGAGAAAACAACCCGAGCAGCTGCTGGCTCAGACGTGTGGGCTCAGACTTCTGACAGTTACCTTGGGATGCTTCTGAAGATGCTCCTCGTAACTGCGTATCCTGGCAGTCAACACAGCAACTGTAAAGAACGGATGCAACAAGCCGTGTGAGAGCAGCAGCAGCTTTCTGGGGTGAGACAAGTGTCATCTGCATTGACTCCAAATTGCCAGCTGAGGACCCACTGCACCACAGCAAATATCACCACACAGTCCTCCAAACGAGAGCAAAACAAACCGCACAATACAACCTATTCAACCCAAGTCAGAACTATTGCTATTATGAAGATGCTTAATTAGAGGATAAAAGCTTAACAACAGCTCAAATGACTTCATCTGTAAACTGCCTGTTGCACTCACTTAATTATGGGTGACTTTACATTCACTTCACTTGGCTTGGAGGAAGAGACACAAACTAAAGGCTCTTTCTAAAAGCAGCAGCCAGCTCTTTGTGATTTCAGGCATTGGATTAAGAGGCCAGTGGCATCCTGAGGAGCTAAAGGATGATAAATGAATGCATCTTGGTCAAAGGCAGTGCGGCCTCCATCACTGCACTGGCAGCTAGACCTCTCTGATGCAAAGGGAAATTTGGGTTCCATGGCTAAATCTAGTAGTTAATTTTGGTAATGAAGTGCAATGCTTCCTGTCACAGAAGCACTTCAAGCAGGATAATGCACTTGCCACTCCTGGAGGGTGGATACGGAGCAGGAATTTGGAAGGTGCCATAGCAGACATCTGCCAGCAAGCTCACGCACTGCTTCCACAATGTTCCCCAACCTTGAAGCTCCAGGGCATACTGCAGGTGCTCCCCTGAAGGAAACCTGAAGTGCTGGGGTGGGAATAGCTGAATAAAAGCAGAGATATATTGTCTGCCAACAATACCCTCCTGCTTTTTAACTTACCTTGCACCTCAAAAGAGCCATTGTCGCTGGGAGACCTCCTGACCTTCTCCACCAGCTGCTGTGTCTTTATTTTCATCTTTTCCTTCTGTGGATAACAGCAAAGAGTTTGTCACTTTCTCAGGAGCACTAAAGGTCTGAGACACCCCAGCTCTCTTCCCAAATACCCAGCTAAAGGCTTTGTAATTAACAGCTTTACTCCGTGTCCACCACAAAGCGTTAAAGAAGTGCTGCAAAAAAAATCCCTGCTGCTTGCAGGACAGAGGACAGCAGCAAAGCACACAAAAAGATCTCAGCAGAACACACAAGTCCCATTGTTCAAACCAAGAGTCCAGGCACACCTTTCACCCCAGGATTACAGAAGGAGGGTGTTGAAGAGGCCCTGCTGCTCTCACAAGTGTGGGAGAGAACTGGGGATGAGCTCACATGGCAGTAGCTTTTACTTTTCGCATCTTTTTAAGCTTAAGTGTTAAGCAGCAAGAAATGGCAAGATCTTTCTGCTGCCTTACAATTCACTTACTTTGTTTTCTGGGCACACAAAAAGTAGTTTGAAGCACATCTGCTGCCCAGTGCCCTGGTTTCTAGGGCACAGGCCTCAGCAGTAATGTAACACAGCTCATCTCCCCTGTGACAGCCTAATATTTTCTTCTAATTTTAGTATGTAATTATTATCATAAAGATTGCATGATCAATTTTAGGAGCACACAAAACTTTTCACTCACATATTTAATAGCCCCAGATTTGCAGTCACTGAGGAACACTTAAAGTGAAGGGCATCTGACAATACAGACAGGACTTACACACACATGCTCACTGGATCTGCCACATGTTTTGATGGAAGTAGAATGGAACTAACCTGGCTTGCCATTTCCAGTGACAACAGCCTTTTCACTACATCATCCACACTGCAAGAAGATTGCAGATTAGTTTATAAGCTAGAAAGGAAATACATTTAACTACAGAAATGAGGTTAGCTTTTCAGAACATGTTATCTTTTCTCAACCTTAATTTACTCTGCACATGTACAGCAGTTCTCCTCCCCTCCCAAACCTGTCAGGTATAAACTGGTTCTTGCATTCCTAGGGAAAACCACAGTGTGGATTACAGAACATGGAGGAGTTTTGCTGCTGAGGGAAGCACAGTTATTTCTGTTGAAGTCTTATCAGTTCCAGAAACCTGACGTGAAAATGGGTGCTGAAGATTAACCCCAAGTAAGCACACAAGGGCAAAATAAGATCAGCTCCTTCAAAGATCTGTGAAAGTCTCAGAAACGCCACTGGGGGCTCTCCCTGCACCACACATGACCAGAGCTGGAATCGAAGCTTAAGCCCTCTCAGCTCCAGGTCCAGATTTCAACAGCAGCCACTCCTTTTGAGCTGTTCCATCACACCCTCTCCAGCACCTGAGTTCAAGGCAGGCACAGGGTATTTCTAAGAAGATTATTTGTAGTATTTCAATATTGTTTCTCTTTTCTATGCTCTACAAAGTCCACAGAAGATGTGGGCAACCAGCACTTAAGCTTACATTAAGAAAACAACCCCCCTTAAACAACCATCATCAGCGATTGCTTTTGTAAATTCGACTTTCAAAATGACTCTGCAATTTCTGTGCTAAACTGCAAACCAATGATCACAGAGCATTGATTAATTACCAAGCAGGTGACAGCTTGCACACAGGGTGGTTGTGCCTGTGTAAGATACAAATCTCTGAAGAGAACAGTCCTTCCCTCTCCCTGCATCATACCTATTTACTACTGGGACATCGGTATAACCTTTCTTCAGCATTGTGGGAGGAAGGTCATCCAATTGGCTGGGGATGTCTACAAAGAAAAGATGAGCATTTGAGGAAAAGCAGTACAAAGTCAGGGCTCTGAACATACCTGCAAACTAGACCAGAGGAAACAAGCTGCAAAGAAAAGAGACTGTATGCTCCAAGTAAGAAGGAAGAACTTAAAAGAGATCGACCTGAGATGGAAGGAACTGAGTGAATAAAATTGGGTGCAACCTCTTGCCTTCAGCACCCTGGATTTACAACCTGGTGTACAGCCCACTGAGATCAGTGGTCTCTTGCTGATGGCAAGTACTGATTTCCCACACATTATGAGCAGCTGAATTTTGGCTAACTTTTAATCTTGACATACCTTTCATTCTTTTTCTCACAGGTCTGGCGTACCATCTGGCTGTCTGAATAAGGGGGCTGCAAGCTTGACGGAAGAAAACAAAAACTGATCAGACTCATATGCTTTTTTAAGCTATGCACACATTAAATACTACTCAGTATGTACTGGAAAACTGGTCAGAGTATTTAAGATTTCAAGGGGATCAGTGGCCAGCCAGGTCTTTTATCCCAAAGGAGTGTAAACAGTTCAGTGTGGTTCTCACATGGGTGCTAAAAGAAATGGGTGAAGCTGTGCTGCTTCTGGGTGATCTGCACCCAAATAATGAGAACAGAGCAGCAGGAAGAGATTACAGACACCAAGCAGAGTGTGATGGCTTCCCTGCTACACTGTGTCCATCTGGAGGGTTTAAACTGATGAACTAAATCAAGTAATTCCTTGTGTGAGTTAGGGGCTGCTCTGCACTATCCCAACGGCAGAGCGCAGAGGCAGTGAGACCTAGAGACAACCTTTGAGCAGCACGGCTTGCTAAGGGTGAGAATACTCATCCACAGCCTCAACTGAGACATTCTTTGACCTTCCAAGGACAAACTCCTCCAGCTGCTCCTTCAAGGCTCCTGCAATCAATGCCTGCTCCTGTGCCTCCAACGTGTCTTCAAGTACAGACTATACCAGCACCCGGCCCTGCCTGCAAACGGGACAGGCAGACGAGCCCAGGAGCGCCGCGCTGGCCCCGCAGGGCACCGGTGCTGAGTGCAGGCTGCCAGCACCTGCACTGCGCGCAGGGCTCCGCACGCCACCCGCGCTCTCGGTGCGGTCACAGCAAGCGCGGAAGCCCCGCAGGGTTCCACCCCGCACCGTGGCCCCGCTCGCAGCAGCTTCGCCTTGGGGAGCTGCAGCCTTGGGACTGCCTGGGCTGCTCCGGCAGGTCCCCGTTGTACCGGGCAGGGTCAGCGGGCAGCCCCCAGCCCTCGGTACGGGCTTCTCCACTCGTACCTGCCCACAGCCTCCCCTCGCCTCTTAGAGCTTCCTCAGGCTCCTTCCCCTCCACCCTTGGCCACCCCGAGACCTCCCCTTCCCGCCTGTCCCCAACCTCCTCTTCCCCCGCGCTCCTCACCGGCTCCGCCGCGGGCCGGCCCCGCCAGGCAGCGGCCCAGCACCGTCCGCAGCGCCAGCATGGCCCTCCCGTCACCGGCCGGCCGCAGTGGGCGCCGCCATCTTGTACAGGCGCCACGGCCGAGCGCCGACGCAGGGCGAAGGGGCCGAGCGCCGAGCGCGTCGATGGGCGGGGCAGGCGGATCGCGCACCCCCGAGCGCCGAGCGCGTCGATGGGCGGGGCAGCGGATCGAGCACCCCCGAGCGCCGGGGCTGATCCTGCTCGCACCGGGATGCTCGGGGCCGTTCTCAGCGCGTCCCGTTTATTGCAGGAGGGAGGGCACAGTAAGGGACGCGCACAGCAATGGCGGAGCGAGCCGGGCCCCGTATACCCCGGTGCAGCCCCGGCCGCCCGCACTAAGCCGCCCGGCAGTCGGGCAGCTCCTCGGCGCCGCCGATGCGGAGCCCCTGCAGCAGCGGGAAGGTGGCGGGCAGCTCCTCGGGGCAGCCGCCGTCCTCCGGGCAGCCCAGCCACAGGTTCTCGTAGGGCAGCGGGCTGGGGCTGGGGCTGGGGCTGGGGTCGAGGAGCAGCGGCTGCGTGGAGCTGGAGCGCAGGTAGAGGCGGGGGGGGCCGTGCTGCTGCCCCTTGTACCCGCTGCCCATCACCCGCGCGTACTGCACGGGCTCCCCGCTCCCGCACGGGTCCCGGCACGGCTCCGCTGCGGTCCAGCCCCGGGCCGGGCTGCCCGGACCCTCCTGCGGCACGGCGCGGGGGATGGAGGGCTCCGCGGAACACGGTGGCTTCCCTGCTGTCCTTTCCAGCACTGTGACGGTAGAAATGGTGGCGGGGCCGGGCTCCTTCACACCGGGCACCTGCAGAGGCTCCTGCGGCACAGACAGGGCCTGCTCAGAGCCTGGGCGCAGGCTGCAGCCCCTCCGCTGCCCCCCTGTTCCCCTCAAGCAGTGCCCGGTGGGGAGCAGGGCACAGGGGCAGCAGTGGCCCAGGTCTCACCTGCTGCAGCTCCACTGGAACCCACTTGCCCAGGCTGCTGTTGGCGGGGTCGGGGACGCTGGGCCAGAACTGCTGCTTCACCCTGGGGACCACAGGACCAGGGGATCATCGGAGGGCCTGGGATTGGTGGCCGCACTGCTGCCAAGCTCATGGAGGGATGCTGCTGCTCCTCACATCCACCCTGTCCCTCCAAGGACAAGGACTGGGCACAGGGACCCCCAGTGTGGGGCTGATCCAGCCCATGGCAGCTCTCAGTACTCACCGCCCATTCTTCTGGAAGCAGATGAGCAAAAGGATGAGCAGGACAAAGACCAGCCCAAGGGTCAGGAAGAGGAACTGGATTTCAGCATCATCTGGAAGGCAGGCAGGGACAGGGTCACAGGAGGAGCTGTGCGGGGCACCTCCGGCCATGCTGTGCCATGAGCTGTGCCATGAGGCTGGGGCAGGACCCAGGTTCTGCCCATGCAACCCTCACCCAGCACTGTGGTCACCAGGGTCAGGCTGGTGCCGTTGGTGCCACCAGCAGCCGTGGATGCCATGATGTGCACTTTGTACAGCGTTGATGGCTTCAGCTCTTGGATGATGAAGGAGCTGAGAGAGGGATTCAGGGTGGAACCTGGGGAAATGGGGGGCTGTTGGCAGGGTGGGGGCTGCGTGGTCCTCACCTGCATGGTCCCTTGGTGGTGTGTGGGGGACCTGTGCACACCCCAGCCCTCTCTGACAAGGGCAGAGTCTGCTCTTGTCCCCAGCCAGCACATAGAGGAGGGATGGAGGGCAGGGCAGGGGTGACAGGCAGGACTCACTGGACACATCTGTGGTGCTGTTGGCCCAGAAGATGGTGTAACCGGTGAGAAAGCCATTCTGCATCTCCACAGGCACCGGCTCCCAGCACAGCTCGGCGCTGGACTTGCTGATGCTCTTCAAGTGGAGCTTTGGGGCATAGGATGGTGCTGAAACAGAGCAGGGCAAGAGACCGGTGTGGGAACTGAGGGGGGATGCTCTGAGTGGTGAATCCCACTCTTGAGGTGTGGGCACCAGGCCCTGCCCCACACCGTGCCCCTGTGGGCCTCTGGGCAGCAGAGAGCAGCTTCAGGGACAAGCCAAGATCCAGCCCCATGGGCTGAGCTCTGCTGCAGAGCTCCTGAATTAGGGGGACTTGGGTCTCTCCCTTTTGAAAGGCAAAGGCTCGGTGGTGTGGGGTGAGCCCTCTGTGGTCCCAAGGGTGGCTGCTGGAAGCACACGTACCCTTCTGCTTGGAGTAGGCTACAGCGTGGACAGGCACCCCTATGGCATCCTTGTAGAGGGGGTACACGGAGATGTTGTACCGCTGGAAAGGCTCAATGCCATCTGCAACAGAGAGCACAGGGGGGGAGCGTGAATGTGGGGCTCTGGCTCTGCCCCATAGCATCGGCCTTCAAGCTGCCAGGAGGGCAGGGACCCCCCGCCTTACCCTGGATGAGGGCTGCGGTGGCAGCCCCATCACGCTCCATGTGCCAGCAGGCGCTGCAGCGCCCGGGCTCCGAGGACACCCGCAGCCACTCCAGGATGTAGGCGGCCACCGGGACCCGCGGCGGCTCCCAGTGCACCCAGAGGCTGTGCTCCCCCCCGGGCACAGCCCGGAGCCCGGCCAGGGGCTGTCCTGCATGGGGACAGGCAGCAGGGGTGATGGGAGAGGGGAGCATCCCTGCTGCCTCCTTGGGAGCCCTCCCGGTTGCTCAAACCCAGTCTGAGAGCTCAGGGAGCTGCCGGGGAGCAGCAGAGCCCCAGGAGGGTGAGGTTTGGGTGCTCTGCTCTCACCTTTCCTCTCCAGCAGGACAACCTCGGTCACTGCGCCCTCACCGGCAGCGTTGTAGGCTGACACATAGACCCTCCTGGTCCCCGCGGGTGCTGAGAAGTTGCAGTGGGTGTGGGTGGTGTTGCAGACCATGGGGGGATCCCTGCCCCTCCTCCTGGGGCTCAGAGTGACGTGGTACCCCAGCACTTTCCCATTAGCCTCCTGCCGCCGTGGGGCCTGGACACAGGGAGGGAGTGTGGGGATGGTCAGTGGGGGTGCTTGGAACCCATGGGGATGCTCAGTACCTGCGGGGATGCTCGGTCCCCATGGTGATGCCCCAGTTGCCCAATGGACCACTCCCCCAGTGCTCACCTTCCAGCAGAGCTGCACCTCCATCCCCTTGCCCCCCCTGGCCGGCCGAGTGCTCCACCATGCATCCAGCTTCCCTGTGGGGGCTGCACCAGGAGGAGGACAGGCAGGGAGCTGAGGGCCGAGCAGGGCCGTGCCACCGGGGCTGTGCTGCGTGGCCAGGCAGCGGGCACCCCCTGCTCACCGCGCACCCACCTTTCTCATGGGTGGTGTAGTTCCTGCCCGGGCTCCAGTCGCTCCAGTAGCCCCGTGCCAGGCTCCGCCGGCAGCGCATCTGGAAGCGGTACTGCGTGCCGAAGAGGAAGCCGCAGCACTGCGCGCTGCCAGCGTGGCCGGCGATGTTGGTGACCTGGCGGCACGCACAGAAAGAGCCGTGGTGGCTCCTGCCCTGGGCACAGACCGGTTGTGGAGCAGAGGGGAGGTCCTGGCTCGGGTCCCTTCCCCGCCGTCGTCCTGATGCCCCCAGCATCACTCACCAGAGCCCATGCGGTGTCCTGGGGTGTCCGGTAGCGCAGCTCACACTGCAGCTCCATGTGCGCGTTGCTCCGGGCCACGTCCCAGGTCAGGGCGATGCAGTCGGTCTGGAAGGGGATGGACTGGATGCTCCGCAGGGCTGGGGGGTCCAGCTTGGCTGGAGGAAGAGCAGAGGGGAGAGCTGGACACACTGGGACCATGGCCTTGCATGTGGCTGTTGTCAATGGCACAAGCTACAACCTTGGTGCCACCTGCCCAAGGTGAGGGATGGGGAGAAACAGCAGCCCCAAATCTTCATGAGGATGGCTCACCGCAGGGGATGTGCCCCTGCCCAGGCCATGGGGTGATGCTGGGGAGCACAGCACTGCCCCTGCTCTGCAGCCCTAATGCCTACACAGGAATAACAGACCCTGTGGGACCCAGGCTCTGGTTCAAGGCCATGAGAATTGCACATTTGGGTCTACCCCAGGCCAAGAGGCCAGCGCAGCCATGGGAGGGCTCAGCTGGTTCATGGGCAGCCCTTGCCCTGGTCCAGAGCAGGGAGGACGGGTCACACCGCCTGGGAAGGTTCCTTTTATGAATAGTTTATAGGAACTGCTGCATTATTAATAGAGCTCCTCAATGAATGGGTAGTCAATTGTTGGAGAGAGCTGTAGAGCGCAGCAGGTCAACCGATGGCTCAGAACCCATCAGCACGTGCTGCTCGCTCTGTACTGCAGCTCTGGCACCTATTCATCCCAGCAAGGCATTTATCATGGGAACCTGCCCATAAAGGCGACCTGGGAGCCTGGTGTGTTTAATGACACCCTAATAGCCCTGTCTCAGTGCTGATGGGCTCCCCTGGCCCCTCACCTGTGCCGGGGCGCCTGGGGCTGCACTCACCCACATCCATGGGGTCCATGCAGAGATGCTCCGACTCGGCCGTGCCCAGGGCGTTGGTGGCGGACACCCAGATCTCCATGTGCCGGTAGAGCTGGAGCAGCCGGCGCGGCACCGTGCAGCGGCTGCGGCCGCCCTGCGGGGTGCACCCGGTGACTGCCGGGGCTCTGCTCCTGCCGCAGTGAATGGAGAGGGCTTGGGGATGAGGCCTTGCCATGGGGTGAGGGAGCAGGCACTGGGGCTGTGTCCCCCCGAGGCTCACCCGGCACACTTCAGAGCAACGCTGGTGGGGAGGTGGCTGTCGGCCCCTGGCTCCCATTGGCACGTCAGCCCATAGTCACTGAGGTTCAGGATGCAGCTGAGGTTGGAGGGCTTTGAGGGTGGATCTGGGAGAGAGGGGCCAGGAAAGAGCCTGAGCAAAGCCCCCATCTGGGGATGCAGCCCCCTCTGTGCCCGGCACCGCCACAGCACCGCTCCCCAAACCTCCCCTGGCACAGCCCCTGTCAGCATCAGCCCCAGCAGCTCTGCCCTGCTCACTCACAGCCCGCCCTGATCTCGGCCATGCCAACGCGCTGCTTGGTCCCATTCCACTCCACCCAGCACCACAGCTTGGCCTGCGTGCGGTTGAACTGGGGCAGGGTGAGGTTGGAGACCTCCGTGTCCCCTGCGCCCCGGCTCTGCCTCCCAGCCATGGCCTCGTTGTCCAGCATCCATGAGATCCGGACCTTCTCCTGCTCCAAGCCGCGGCACAGCTTGCTCTGGATGGTGCAGGATGCAGTGACAGCCGAGCCCAGGGGCACAACGGGTGAGTCCACGGCCACCAGGGCACAGCCCATGGTCCCTGAAAGCAGGAAAAGCACATCACATCCGGGGCAGGAGGGATGCTCAGCCCCCCAGCACCCAGCCAGGACAGAGGGGTGAGCACCTCTTCCCTTAGATGGGCCCCCAGCCACTGGAGAGGAAGAGCCGGGCGTTGGGCAAGCCTCATGGCACACACCGGGCCCCATCCTGCCTGCACCCACTGTGCCGCTGGCGTTCCTGCCCCTCGGAGCAGCCCCTGTGTGCCACGGCCCTGGCCATGCAGCGTGGGCACTGGGTGCATGGGATGGAGCAGGTCCCACTCACCCCTCAGGTGCAGGAGCAGGAGCAGGGAGAGCTGCAGCAGGAAGAGCATCCCAGCACCGCGCCTCGCCATGGCCTCCATGGCTTTGGCATCACCTGGGATGGAGACAGCAGCTTGTTGGGATGAGGGGGGCTGGAGGAGCCGTGCTGCCAATGTCACTGAGACCAACCACCATCACCAGCACAATCCTTTGCTGTCAGAGCCCTTGTGCAGCGCTGACACCGCTGCCCTTGGGCTTGATGCTTGGAAAGGTGCAGGAGTGAGGAGCTCCAGTGGGATCCATCCGGCACAGCCAGCTCCTGGCGCTGCGCACCCCAACCCCGGGCTGCAACACCCCATTGCGGCTGCAGCTGGGCTGATTTTATCTCAGGTATCTTCAGCCTCTGCCGGGCAGAGATTTGTGGTTGCAGGGGTTGATAAACTGAGCTGATAAACTGATAGATAAACTGAGCTGATAAACTGAGCTGATAAACTGATAGATAAACTGATAGATAAACTGAGCTGATAAACTGATAGATAAACTGATAGATAAACTGAGCTGATAAACTGATAGAGGGAAACGGACGAGCGGGGTGGCCGGAGCTGCAGGGTCCAGTCTGTGCCCCCGCCGGCTCATCCTCTGCCGCACACCGGTCCTGGCTGTGTCCTTGCTGGTGCTGAGCACCGGCCCCGGGAGGTGCTGCCCACACTGAGCCCATCTCTGGGTGCTCCCAGCTCCTTCCCCTCCCCAAGCCAAGATCCAGAGGCAGATGAAAGGAACGGAGCATGAGGAATGGGGGAGAGCACCCAGCACGTGTGGCTGGGACAGGGCAGAGCAGTGCTCACAGCCACAGACAGCGCGGTCACAGCACCAAACAACCGATCCCCACCTCACTGCCATCCCACCTCACCACCATTGCCACCACCATCCCCACCTCACCACTATCCCCACCTCACCACCATTGCCACTACCATCCCCACCTCACCACTATCCCACCTCACCACCATTGCCACCACCATCCCCACCTCACCACCATTGCCACCACCATCCCCACCTCACCACTATCCCCACCACACCACCATTGCCACCATCATCCCCACCTCACCACCATTCCCACCACACCACCATTGCCACCATCATCTCCACCACACCACCATTACCACCATTATCCCCACCACACCACCATTGCGAGCACCATCCCCACCTCGCCACTATCCCCACCACACCACCACTGCCACCATCATCTCCACCACACCACCATTACCACCATCATCCCCACCACACCACCACTGCCAGCACCATCCCCACCTCACCACTATCCCCACCATCATCTCCACCACACCACCATTGCCACCACCATCCCCACCAAACCACCATTACCACCACCATCCCCACCTCACCACTATCCCCCCCACACCACCATTACCACCACCATCCCTACCTTGCCTCCATCTCTACCTCTCCTCCGTACCCGGCTGCTCCTCAGCGGCCGTTCCGAGCCCCTGCCGCTGGCTCCCGGCTCCCGGCCGCGCTCAGCCTGTTTGCTAACATGCTGCTTCACCGTTAGTTCCTCAAACCCAGCGCCGTTAATTGCTGTGACTGGAGGAGGCGATTGCAAAACACTTCCCTGAAGGCTGTGACCGCCTCGCTCGCTCGCTCCCCGCAGGAAGGAAAGCCCAGCAGCACGCACGCATCCAGCGCTGGGGGCCAGCGCCCGGCCTCCAGCACCGCAGGGCTCTGTGCTCTGACTCCCTTTGAGGGGGATGTGGGACTCAGAAGGCAGGAGGCAAACCTGGTGCCACCGCGGCAGGGGACTGGGCTCATCCCTGCATCCTCATCCCTGCCGTCGTCAGCGCTCTCCTGGGACAAGCCTGCGGGTCCCTGGGGTCGGCACTGCTGTCCCTTGCAGCAAGCCTGGCTTGTCCCCTAAAGCCTTGCCCTGGGGAGAGCTGCCCTGCAAACCCCTTTGAACCAAGCTGTCCATGTTCACACCATGCAGTCCGGCTTGCCCCCAGTGAGGCAACCCCCAGGGCAACCCAAGACCTGACCTTCCCATTAACACATCCCTGTGCCAACCAGTAACGCATCCCTGTACCAACCATGAACCCATCCCTGTGCCAACCATTAACTCATCCCTGTGCCAGCCATTAACACATCCCTGTACCAACCATTAACACATCCTTGTGCCAACCATTAAAACATCCCTGTACCAACCCCTAACATCCCTGTACCAAACATTAACACATCCCTGTACCAACCATTAACCCAGGCTTTTCCAGCAGCATCTTGCCCAAGGTCCTGCCCATCCATCCCAGTGGGCACCAGGCAGCTCTATCCCCTCTATCCCCCCATGCTGGGGAGCCCCATGTCCGGTGGGATGGGCCTGGAACAGGAGGATAAACAGGGGATTGCCCAACCCTGCTCACACTCGCAGCCTTCGCAACGGGGCTGTTGTGCAAAGAGCTGTTTACTACAGACTTGGAGCCCGCGTTACTCAGCGCTCACTCAACCCCACGCTGGGACCAGCACGGTCCCCACCCCATAGGAGAGCAGACACGCTCCCAGCATCACTTCCCATGGAGCTGTATCCAGCCACCCCACAGCCCAAGGAAAGGGGTTTCCCCCCCAAATCTCCCCTGCCCAGGACACCCTGAGCTGCTCGCAGGGATGCTGAGGGGGCAGCTCCCTGGGATGGGGTACGGGGCCGATTCCCACAGCCGCTGCCCTTGCAACACTTCCCTGCAGTGGAGCAACCGGGGGTGTTTCGGGGCTTGCAGGCTGTTTACCAGCCGGAGCAGGGATACCCGTGGGTAGCCATGGTGATGTGGGCATCTCTGTGGGAACCGAGGGCAGGAGGAGCTGAGACCACCAGCAGGACACAAACAAGCGCTTGCCCATGGGGTACAGGCGGTGGGACCCCCATCCTGTACGGCGGGGACCGGGAATCCCATCCCTATGCTCCGCAGGGATCGGTTTGCCCCATGGAGGCTCTGAGGGTGCCAACCCTTGGCACAGCTCCCGGGGCAGCGGCCGCTTACCAAGATCAGGGATGGAGCAGATGCACCCCTATGACAGTGCTCTTGGCTCCCCTTTGGCTCTGAGTCACCCTCAGGGCCCCACAGATCCCGTCCTTGGGGTGGGACAGGGGGACAAGAGGCTGGGTTCCATCCCTGTGGGGCACCCACACCCAGAGCCATGGGGCCCAGCCAGCCCAGTGGACAGGCCGGGACAGGAGGCTGCTGGAGCCGGCTGGGGGGCTCCCATGGGATGAGGCAGTGGCAGTGCAGACACAGGGAATGGTGCTGGGGAGGGTGGGAAGCGCAGCATGGAGGAGGGTGGGTGCTCATGGCCCGGACAAGGCACGTTTCAGGGGGAGCAGTGGGAGCAGTGGGTCCCCAGCCCATGGCCCCCTTGCCTGGGGCCGCCTGGCGAGGGGGAAGGTGGAAAGGGGAAGTGGCTGCAGGGCTTTTCCCGGGTTGCAGTGTGTGGGATGGGGACTGGAGGCAGCCCAGCAGGGAGGCCAGACCCCTCGGGCAGCTCCGGCCACAACCCGGAGGCAGCAGTGGGACAGGGATGGAGCTGGACCATTCCCAGAGGCACCCCTGGCACTGCCACCACCCCTTGGGCAGAGCCGATCCTACCCCAGTGTGAAGTGGCTCCATTCCCTGCTGGGCTCTGAGTGCAATGTGGGGGGCAGCAGGACCCCAATGTGCCCCACTGCAGCCAAACCAACGCTTGCATCCATGGCCCAGGGGCCAGCACTGCTCTCCCACCGCTCCCCACGTCAGCTGCCTCCATTGCTCAGGCGTGGTATCAGCGCCTCTGGTTTAATCCCTGCTGGGCAGATCACTGCTATTAAGCAGAATAAAGTACATTACCAGCCTGTATCAGCTCAGCTGTCAGCCAGAACCAGCCTCCCGAAAGAGATTTTCCCTTTCTTCTTTTCCTTCCCTAAAAAGAAAGGCAACATTGCCAGCTGTGTAAGATGCAGGATGGAAGTGCAAAACCTGCTGTGGTCTCTAATGGATCAGGAACGCTGTTTAATTGCTGCCCAACACGCTTAATTCAAACAAAGCACCCACTGCAGCCATCAGCAATAGGGAGAGAGCAGCGGGCTCCTGGCCAAGCCACCCTGGGATGCAGGGTGATGGGGAGGAGACCCTTGGCAATGGTGCAGGATTGATTACAGGGGCCTGAGCGGGGCCCTGGAACAAGGCTCCTGGCACATTAACGAGCAGGAGGATTCATGTCCCTGCTGGTAGGGACTGGGGAGTCCCTGCTGGGCATGGAGGGGGAAGGACAGGGTGAGCAATGTTGCCTGCCATTACTCATCTCTAAGTGCAAGATGCCAAAAGGATGCTGAGGGGCTGCAGCTCCAGCACAGGAGAGCGCTGAGCAGATGGGTGAGGGCTTCCACATAAACCCTGCCTGACCCAAAATCAGTGCCTCTGCAGTCCAGTGCCTGGTCATTGAGGCACGAGTACCCCAACACTCCATCTTCTTCCAACCCTTTTCTGACAAGGGATCACCCTGCGATGATGCTCTGCATGAGACCATCGGGGCAGGGGGATATTTGTGTCCCCCCACCACACACACACCCCCTCACTTCTCTGTGACCATGGTGCCAAGCAACACGTTAGATCCCAGCCGACTTGTGCCTCTTCCCAGCAGTCAGCAGGCTATGAGCGCAGCACGGGGATGCTTCTGCTCTAATAAACACCCCTGACAATAATAGAAAACCCATCAGCTTCTATCGGGAGACAAAATACATCTGGACATTATTTACCCGCAGTCAATAGCTGCAAAGGGAGCTGTTAGCCCAGGCTGGCGCTGACAGCAGGGACCTGACCGCAGCATGGGAACAGGCGAAGCCTCCCAGCACATCCCTGCTTGCTCCCACTGTATGAACACATCTGAGCCGTGCTCAGAAGGAGGACCCCCCGCAGCCCCCATCCCTTTGACCTGGGGTAAGCTGCAAGGGCCATGCTCTGGAAGGGCTCAAAGGATTTGGGTGCTCAGGCAATGGAGCCCTGCTTGGAGCCGTTTGCATCTCATCTGCTAAAGGCTCAGGTCTGCAAGGGCAAGAAATTCACGGTCAATTGAGTTGCAGCTAATCACAAAAGGCAATTAAGTGACTGCTTCTTGAGGGCTATAAACATCTCCGATTGAAATCCAGTGACACACGGAAATAGGAACCCAACCAAGCAGCCTCCCAAAGTGCTTTATTCCCCATTATTTTCATTAGCTGCCTTGTAATTTGATTTGTCCCTCTCCTGCTGCTGCCTTCTTCCGTGGCCAGGAGGAGAGGCAAATTAAGCAGCCTCAAGCTCCCAAAGCCCAGCGGTGTCCGTGTGGGTCAGGAATGACGCAGATCCTCCAGCTTACACAAACTGACCACGTTTGTGCCCTGCAAGAGGGGACCGAGGGGTTGGGATGCCCAAACTGTGAGCCCCTGGCACCGCATCCCATGAATCCCACCGGGGGTGCTGCTGGAACCACTGCAGCCGAATGCTCCAGGCATGGGGGCAGAGCCCAAAGCTACAACCATCACTGCAGTGGTTTGTACCCCAGGAGCAGCACGCTGGGGATGGCACCAGTGCTGCTGTCACACACCCGGGCTGGCTGGTGTCTAAGTTCCAATTCATCTCTCCAGGCTTCTCTGACAAAGCACATTAAGGTCTTTCCCTGCAACCCACTCTGCTGTGAGCCTGCAGCAGAGGCAGCCAGAGGCGATGCCAGGCCCACCTCCTGCACAGCTCTGGTTTATCTCCCTTGGTTTGCCTCCTTCTGCCTGTTTTCCCAGTGGGATTCTCCCCACTGTTTGCCCCAAAGAGTCAGCCAGCACTGATCCCCGCTCCGGGCTGCTGGATGGAGCTGCCTCCCTGGACACCATGGGGGTCCCATGGGTTGTGTTGGGGATGCTACAGGCACCCGCAATGGTCCTGCTGCAAACTGGAGCCTGCTCAGTGCTTGGCTCGGGGGCAGGGTGCTGCAGCGGGGGCAGGATGCTGCAGCGGGGGCAGGATGCTGCAGCATCATCCCCCTCTGGGTGCTCTTGCACCACGCTGCCATCCTCCCCCCATTACCTGCAGTTTCCTTGGAAGCTGCCAGGCTTCGCTGGGGCACCTTTGCAAATGAAGAGAGCAGAAAACATCCAGGTCTGCATTTATTCCACTAGGAATTAATTCCCCCCTTCTTATTTAAAGGTATCGGTGAATGAGGCCAAGTTGTTAAGTGACAAAAGAAAAATGATTCTTGCCTTCCAGGGTTATTAAAATCATGTCCTACAATTTTAGCAGCCACAAGGAAACCCAGATAATGACAGATGATGATAATACATCTCCGGCACAGCCTGGTCTGTAATGATACTGCCCATATCTCTTGTATTACCACCAATTACTCAGCGCATAATGAAAACGCACATCCATTCTGGAGAACTGCATTTGCTGCCTCTGAATCCAATTTCTCCTTCTCCCAGCCAGTGAAGGAGGTGGCTGCAGCTCGATGCTGGCCAGAGCCACCACCATGGCCAGGTTGGATGGGGCTTGGAGCAAGCTGCTCCAGTGGAAGGGGTCCCTGTCTGTGGCAGGGGTTGGAGCTGGAGGAGCTTTAAGGTCCCTTCAGCACAAACCAGTTTATGACTGTATGAAAACGCACCCTTGAGGTTCTTCACCATCATACGTGGATGGGGGATGCGGTCCCTGCTCCA